CCTGTATTTGGCTACATCTTAAGTTGCTAAAATGGGCTTTGTAAATCAGCCTCCTACTGCTTTTGTTTTTCCTCTTTAATGTTTGGCTTGCCTGCTTTCCCTTAATATCTATTTAAAGGAAGACCTGGGGCCACGGGTGGCTTATGGGAACCTCACACTGCCTTTGCAGCGTTTCCCAGCTCCTGTGCCCTCCCCGTGCGCTGTGAAAGTCGTGCTCGTGGGAGGGTCAGCTGAAGCTGCCTGGGTTTGACAGCGATCTCCTGGCTGCCAGCTGGAGCTGTGGCTTAGACTGTCCCTTGCAATGCACAGGAGCTTGTTTTAGGGAATATTCTCACTCATTTTTGTGGGAGTAACTCATCAGGTTGGGTTCTGCACTGAAACAGTAATTCTTTGCATTCAGTTTAGTTTTGTGTTGCTTGATTAAAATAGCATGGCTGTGGGTCTGCATTTTACCATCCTGTACCATCTTTACCATAAGAGCAGGTAAAGAAGAGTGTTTTATCTTTTGCATGCCCTTTGTTTTGGGGCCTGCCTGGCCCTTACTTCTGGCCAACAAACGCAACCATTCCTTCCTTCAGGGAAGGGGAACAAAGATTAGCTGGATCCCCTGTTTCCTCCCATTCTGCCCTCCAGTCTCCTGACCCTCCAGGAGAGAGGCCACTACAGGACCACCGTCACTGGGGTGACAGCAACTCATTCTGATGAAACACTGCTGGTGGCTTCACTGGACCAGAGAAAGCAGGAAAAGTCAGTGTGGGGTCATCCTCAGCCTCCCCATGCACTCGTGTCCGAAGTGCCCTGTACCCATGTGTCATGGTTTGAGCTCCCCCACCACTCACTCACACCCAGGACACCATGTCAGCCACCCCAAGTCACATCGGGAGGTTTGGTGCCCCAGCTACAGCACGCCCTGGGGTTACAGTCCTGAGGTCAAACATTTTGTATTTGTCTTAAATGACTTAATGAACATGTCTGTGTGGTCTGCAGCATTACGTCAGAGAGACACACACTTTGGTACAGGGTTAAAGAGGGAAAAAACAGTGTAGTAAGATGTAGGAAGGGTTTTCTCTCTGCACTTCTAGCCACATGACTACAGGGGCAACTGAAGAGGTGGAAAATTGACAAATTAATCGAAAATGAATGCAACTGAAACAAACAAAATAAATCCTTCATGAAACCTGCCATGTGCCATCAATAATTCATTGCTGGACAACACAAAAGCAGATCATTCTATCAGCTGCCTTCTGTATGTGACCTTGATTTAGCAGGCAGGTGAAGCTGAGAGCGGTGGCCTTATTTTAGCATGTCTCTGGCTTGGCCATTCAGAGCCATAGGACTAAGAACTGTGAAGCTTTTGACAGTGTATTTCTTTTCTGCAGCTATTATCTTTTACTGATGAGTCAGTGCATTTTAATCTAATGGGGAATTTTTTAGTACAGCTGAACCAAAGGGTTTGAGTGGATGGAAAACAGGAGAATACCATCAAGGAAATCTCTGCAGCTTGGCATCGAGCTTTGTTGACAGCCAAGGGCAGCTTAATCAGTATATTTGGAAAATTCTGCCTACTGATAAGTAAAGGGTTTGGAGAAAAATACTAAGTGATGTTCATTAAGGCATTCATTGTACTTTTCATTGTTTCTGTAACCCTATTGTCATGCTGTACAACCATAGTTAAAGGAGTAGTGATATTAGTAGGGATTAACATTGTTAATTTCTGCTGTTTGTAACATGTGAGATCTTCTGAAATACAGATGCTATTTCTGTTCTACCCAGATCTATTACTTGCTTTTCTCTGCCCTGAAATTCATGGCTTAGTGACTAGGAAAGTAGTTGCATAGAGCTAGGCAGGATTTCCTCTTTCAGAGGAAATCTACTGTCTCTCTATGATTTATTATACTCCCCCACGTACCCAGCAAACTCCTAAAACCACTGTAAGTGTGAAAAGGTGGGGGGTGGATATTAATGCCTTGAGATTTCTAGGGGAGTTGGCACTGGTGGCATTGATGACTTCCAGCGCAGCAAGGTGATCTGGCAGGGTAGAACTGATTAACTGTGAAAGAGGAAATCTGGGAGTATAAAAGACCTTGTGTTTTGATTCCCTTATCGCTCTGAACATGCTTCAGACTAATTGTGAAACTCAAACACTTCTGCTCAGGGATTTTGACCTGCTGTTGGAGGGGATCATACCCAGGCTGAACTAGTGCTAAAACCCTCCACATCTGTCCCTCTTGCCCATTTAGGAAAAGAGACATGTTAATTGCTAAGGGCTCCAATTCACAGTCCCTCCCGGCTTTTTCTGCAGCTGCTGAAGTGCTCCTCAGCTGCTGCAATTCACAGACTGGCACATCAAGTTAAAGCATCACATATTGGTAGTTTATATTAAATACACTGGCCTGAAAATTGTGGCAGCTGAAGTGCCTGTTCTGCCTACTGTGGGGATACAACCTCCATGGGGAGACAGGAGAAAGCACGCAGATGGGGTGTAACCTTTCAAGCCCCCACAAGTAAACCAGCCCCAGGTAAATTCTGCCCAAGATGGTGACTCAGAGCCCCACATCCAACCTCCACTGCCCATTAAACTTACTGGGACTTAACATGATGAAGTAAGAGTTGCTCATAGTCACTGAGTAGTAGGTGATCTAATAGATAAAAGCCCACGTGGAATTGCTGGGCTTGGCTCTCTTTGGTTCCGCTGATCAAGCTGCTTTCAGACAGGACAGGAAAGCACTCATACTCTTCTGCTGAGAAGCAAATCCTGCTGATGCCAGTGATCTGTGGGTTCGTGTCAAATTAAAGTTCATGCTGACAGATAAATTCCTTCAACCTCCTTTCTACGTTGTTATGAAAAAGCACTGCTGGAAAACTTAGAATTCTTCACATTCATTATATGTTTGCATTATCTTTATTATAAGGAGGACACATTCCAAAGCAGTCTTTGGGATCTGTAACAGTGTTTGGTAGAAAAGGCAGAGATGAAAAACCTACATATCCAAGGTGGAAAGTGATGGGTCCATGGGAAGGGCTGTGACACGGTTATGGTATAGTAGGGGCCAGGACTTGATGACATTAAAGTGCCTTCCAGCACTGTGTTCCCATAGGAACCACAGTACAATTCTTAGCAGAGTGTGTCCTCCTTTACTGTCAGATCTGGGAAAGCAAGTTTTTTTCATAGAACTGTTAATAGTAACGCTAGGGGATTTACTGTCTCTCTTCACCTTCGGTATTTCCTGGTGGTTCATTTATGGTTCTAATCAATCTTGGGAAGAGGACTTACTGTCAGAAACAGGAGTCTCTCAGTGCGTTTTTGTACTTGACAGTAACAGGGTATATGAGAGAGTTTTGTTTGCCTGCACTGTTGATAGCCACGACTCTTCTCCTTCCAAAGATCCATGTGGATTTTTTTTTTGAGTAAGATCTCTTTCTTTCTCTTTGTTTCAAGTTTGAAATCTTTAGAGGAGTTTGTTTTAAACACTGTACTGGCTCACACGCCTCCCCAAATCCATTTTCCAATTTTCCCCAGTAGTCCTCTGGCAGTGGCAAAAAAGTACACAGAGAACAAAATAGGGAGAGCACAGGTGGGTTTTTTTCAGACTTTAAAACTTCTTATCTTTTATCCAGGGTAAGTTGTCTTCACTCACACTTTGGCAAAACAAAGTGTTAAAGAAGCTCTGAGATCTGCCAGCTTTCAGAGAAAATCACACTTTTTTGCATTGATTTCTAGCAGCTTATTTTCTGGGGATGAGCAATTTCAAGCTGCTTCTTTCCTATCCCCAGAGCTCCTGGGGCTGTCCTGACCATTCATGGAGCATGCTGTAACGGATCCAAGGATGGGGGATGTTGGCAAACATTGCTACACCTGGAGCCTGCATTTTCACCTGGCAGTTGTCAAGACAGCAAATAACTATAAAACATGTTGAGCTGGTCACAACAAGCGTAACCAGGATTAACATGATTCTTTTCAAACAGCAAGTTTGTTCTTTTATTTTTGAGTCATCTCATTTCATTTAAAAGGTCTTGAGTGACCTGTAACAGATGAAGTAGCTATGATTAGGTATATTCCACGATTGCACAACTGCCCACCTGCTCTGCACAATCCTGGTGGAAGGCTCCAGCATCGTGCATGCCACCAAGGCTGGGGATATGAGTGGATGGTATCACACGCTTTTAAGTGCCTGTGATCATGAAGGCGTCCAACTGCCTTCAGTTGATGAGTCACCCTGCAATGAAGGAACAAACTCTTCGAGACAAGGAGCTTACAAGGTTTTTACACATATGGCCAGACTAAATAACTAGTCTGGCATGATATAGCAGAAACCAGCTGTGAAACAAAGATCAGAACAGTTCTAACATCCAAGGCCTTTTTCTACAGGGCTTTGGAAGAAATAGAAAAACACATCTGGAGAAGCAATTGCAAATTTTTCTTTTGCTCCTTCTTCTCCCCTCCTTCTTGTAAACTCATACTACAGGTGAGCCAGAAACATTGCTGAAGGGAAGGAGCCAGATTTGCACAATGGCCAGTTTCTGGGAATATGTTTTAAAATATGACCCTAAATCCTGCTGTCCTGTAAGAAAGAGACACTGGGAATTCACTTTCTTCCCTTCTTGACCAGTGGCCTGCAGGTGAATCATCTGGCTGAATGAATAAGGGGGGTTAGCTCTATGCTCTTGAACTGCCTGTTGACTGCATTTTAGCCGTTTCCAAACTCACTAGCAACACACTGATGAGGCATGGGGTGGCCAGCACAGCCAGTTTCCTCCCAGTAGCTCAGAGCACCCCAGGAAGAAGCAGACGGAACACTGATAAAATGCACCTTGCAAGAAAAGGGCCTATGAGAAGAGCCCCTGTATTGCCCTGTTAGTCCCAAACAGTGGTGTTGTAACACAGGATCAGTGCCTTGGCTTGGTCTTTAAGTCATGAGCAATAGTCTCACCCCAGGAAATGGCAAGGCAGGGATGTTTCTGTTTTTAATCATTTTACCCTTTTTGCTTTGTCTCTCCAGATGATGTTCGATTGTTTGGCTTTGTCCGATTCACCACCGGTGATGCCATGAGCAAGCGAGTCAAGTTTGCCCTCATCACTTGGATTGGAGAGGATGTCAGTGGCCTGCAGAGAGCCAAAACGGGGACCGACAAGACTCTGGTCAAAGAAGTAGTACAGGTAGCCTCTTCCTTCTGCTTCTAACTGCCAGTTCCCATTGTTATTAGTTCTACAAACACCAGCAGGAGAGAGGGAGACAAATTGGATCATCCTTCAACTTAACAGTTAATCATTTAAAAAGGATACAGTTGCCTATTGCCTGTCTTCCTACTAGGAAGACTTAACATCTGCCCTTTGAGCACTCAGGCATACAGAAGCACCTCTGAGCTTAAGATTCTCTTAACTATTTCACGAGGAGGGAATATGTGCACTCCCCTCTTTGTCACCATTAAGATGCTTCCCATCTTCTTCCTCAATATGAAAATAATGTAATATTGAATAGTAAAGAACAAGGCAGTGTTAAATTAAGCAGGTAAAATTAAACAGAAAACCCCACACCCTTGTTTAAACTTCTCTTGAGGCCTTTTGTCTCTGCACAATGAGTTCATGGATCTAATCAACTAAAGTCTGAAGTCCCTATCAGTACCAATTAACTAACAGCTCTTAAGAGATAACTAGATTTGAATAGTCTTATGTTTGGCCTTGGCGTGTCAGTGAAAAAGAGAAATGTGCTTGGTACACCCCTTGGAAGGGCTTCACTTGAATTTGTCTGCCCCAGCTGAGCTTATCATTTAACTCAGCCAAGGCCTCCCAGGGCACTCCAAGCCGGGCTCGCTCTGTCAGGCTCCAAGATCAGTCCAAGTGAGTGAAAACAAGCAACAGCCACAAGAGAAGTGAATTGTGGAAGGCTGCAAAGAACTGCTGCCAAAAAGCTGACTTTCATGGAGAAGATGCTAACGTTTAGCATGTTTCCTCTGAAGAAGTATTTAAAGCAAGACTAGCTCTTTCAACTAAACCTAGTGCTAGCTCTTCACTGCCTGAGAAATGGCCTTTCTTATGCACTTGGAGAACAGGCTGACCATTGAAATAATCTCTCTCAATAATTGTATTCTTGCCTATGTAAAGAAATCTCCCAACAGGACAATATGAAGGATGAGAATGAAGTCTCCCTCAATTCACCAGTAGTTTGTATGATACAGAAGATTATACTTAGATAAGAAGCATGAAAAATATAATAAATTCATATACTTCCAGAAGATAAGTACTGGTGCTAAATGTTTCAAAATGACAACTACGCAGAGGGGTCCATTCTGAAAAGAACATTCCATAATGACACCTGAGAGATAGGAAAGCAAATCTCTGTTCATGTCAAGCATCTGAAACTGTGTAATTGTAGTTGAAGATGAAATTATAGACTACAAATGAATGACTCATATAAGAGTCACTAAGCCCAAGATTTAAAAAAGAATATATGTTTAGACAATTTATTCCTGTTGAGTTGAATAGCATTCCTGAATGCTGTTCTAAGATATGTCCCTCAGGTCTGTTACATATAATTTGCAATTTCACTTGTTTCATCTTTGATTAGTAGTCTGTAGGAGTTAATAATCTGGTGGAACATTAACCATTCTTGGCTGTTATTTAAAAGCTTTCACATTCCAATTAATCTGCACTAAATTATGAAAACAATACAACTTGTGCTCAATACACTTGCATTGAGTAACCGTGTCTATAACCCTCTCCAAAGCATTTCTGAATGTCATGTCAATGATAACCTCCTTTCCATAAGAAATTATCTTGACAACTATTTTGAATAGTTCTACATGTGCTACTGAGTCCCTCTGAGTGGAGTGGGATAAAAACAGAACTATTTTATTCTTCTCATGCATGTAACCTTGCAGATAATCTGTCAAAATAAAAGAGGACAAGAATGTCCACAAGAAATTCAGTGGAGGGAACTTATCCAGAGCTATTTCACTCTTACTAGTCCTCTTGACCTTCAAGTACATTCCCAGTCACCCCACTGCTTCTGACTTTTACAGAGATTATTTAAGATGTGAGTTATGCATAGAAAAAAAACAGTTGGTTGTTTACTGTAATGATAAATGACAAATCTGACTCAGTGTTGGTTCATCATTTAGAATAAGTAGTACCCTAAAGTAGGAATTTTTTTCTTTAGAAACCCTGAAGAGAATCTAGGCTATCGATGCAGTTCAGCTCTCTGCAGTTTTAGTTGTGTGCATGGCCCATAGGTGCATTTACCCTGTGTGACATGGCTCCCCTTCCATGGAGGTGCGGCACAAGGAGGCTTTTTGTACAGCAGGCAACAGCTTTGATTTTGTGATCTACAGAAGTGATTGGTTGGGATTCCAGAACAACAGCTCTTCAGTCTGAGAAGCCCTCAATAAAACTTGAATGGCTCTCACTATCTTGTAATACTTGCAAAAGCTAGCTGTGGCTCTTCATTTAAGACCAAAGCTCCAGTGTGAGCTGAGGCCTGCTCTATATTCATTGCTGTGTTGTAGATGCATTGATGAGCTACAGTTGAACTCTGCTCAAAGCTGAACAGACACCAATAAATACTGTTCTTCTGCTGAGACACGCAAAGTGAAAGACAGTCAGCTTGAATACCACCTAGCAAGCAAAACCCACCATGTTGCATCCGTAGAATAAAGAGTGTCCACACATGGTGATTATTAATCGTCTCCTAGAAGCACCTGCCATAAGGAAAACGCAAGGGATGTTAACTGTTGAAGAGTAGATTATGGGCTTGTGAACAAAAGGATGAAATATTATAAAGCAAGGAGAGGGAACTGGGCTGCCCTCGCTTTTATATTCCTCCCTTGGAAGGGGGAGCAGGCGCTGTGAAATCTATAGGGAGGTGGCTTGGGAAGCAATGCTGATAGTCAGCGGAGGAGGTTGCCAAAACATCTCTCAGGAAGAAAGGACAATTGATTTTTAGCTGTAATAACTGTAAAATTACAGGGATGGATCTCATCTGGTGCAACTAGCCATAGTTCTCCTGATCTGTATTAGCTGAGAATCAGGACTTCTTGCTTATTTGGGACTATCCTTATTACCTCTTTAATGGAAAATGGGGTTTGCATTTATTGTATTTATTTTGGATTGAAGATAAATTCATTTCGCACTTAAGGAACATCCAGCAGCTTTTTTTCACAGCCATTTATTTTCCATCCTTTCCTCTTTACCTCAGCTGGAAATCTTGGATCAAGTCTGTGAGTACTTGGTCCAAGTAGTTCAGCTGAGAGCAGGTTAGAGGAAAGGCCAGGATGGGGAATAAGTATTTATCTGTATCTTCTTAAGGGTATAGCTAAGTACTAGTGTGCGGACTTTCCTGTGTAAATGGAGACATGGAGTAAGGTGATGCAGTATACCATCTCTTCTCCACTGAGCTTCTGTCTAGGCCAGTGACAGACCCAGGGGTGGGAGACAGTAGCATACAACATCCCTTGCTTTGCAGACTGATGTTTACGATGTTTGGGAGTTTGTTTCTGAGGTACAGCCTAAACTCAGATCTAGAATGATCTAAACTCAATGGCTGGGGAACTTTATGAAACAGTATGCCAGGATGATTTAAACTACAAGGCTGCATCTATTCTGTCACCAGCAGTAGCATGGCTTACCTTGCACACGTGAGTGAGCTGGCAGATGCCTCCAGTGAGCCCCGCGTGCAGCAGACCCCACAGCATTTGTGTCTCTGCACAGCTGTGCTTCGATCCCTAGCTGGCATGCCAAGGTTGTACCCAGCTGGCAGTATACACCAGCTGAATGGAAAGGCTTTGGGCATATTTTCTACTTGGCTAAAAAGGAGATCATCCAATGCTTGTCTTAAACTCCTGTTTTGTGTCCTTGGCAGTAAGGATGGTTCTGCCTTTTACCTCCTTCAAATGCACAAGCTGTGGCTTATTCAGCCTTAGGACAAATCCATCCAGGAGACTCTCTGTGCTCTGAGGGTTGTTGTTTTAACCTCTTTAATGCCAGAAGCCCGGGAGAAACAAGTCAGCTTAAGCCCAGAAATCAAGACTATTGTAAGCTGCTTGTAATGGCTAGGAACGGCTGCCAGCGTGAGGTTCAGTTCAGCCATAAAAACTCCCACAAGGTGAAACCTGGCAGCTGTGGGTTTTAAGTACAGGAGCGTCAGACCTTCCAGTGAATGGCCCCCTTTGCTTTGAGGAGAGGCAGAGGGATGATGTTATGGCGCTTTTCTTGGTGGAAGGACAAGCCCAGGCACAACAGCTGTGGGGCTGGGAGTGGCAATCGGTCTGCTGGTGTAGATGTAAATGCCGGTGTAGATGTAAATGCTGAAGAACTGAAAACTGGACTTGGTGCCCTTCATGACTGCATTTCCTACCAGATTTTAACCCTTCCTTAGGCAGCGAGGAGGTCTTTTTCCTGATGGGACTGAATGCTCCTGCAGGGCTGTCTCAGCAAAGGGACTATTCAACCTTTGCCAGATTGTCTTATTTTCCATGGATTTTGACTCTTCTCTGTTTTCTTCAGCACTCCTGCCCCCACAAAGTCATGTGCTCTATTATTTGCCTAAATCATATTCAGGGTAAAACAGCTCCGTTTCTGTGAGGAAATATTCGTGGCATTTTATTCATTATTATTTTTGGTGAGGAATTTGCCTGGATTTAGTGATGTCAACAAGTTTACTGAGTTCCTGCTTTGATGCTCATGGCCAGATCTTTTTTGTTCACCTTTCTCTTTTCATCTGGATTCCTCACAGCACTGACACTGGTACCCCATGAGAGAGGGCCCACTTACAGGATTGCTGTCTCTGGTCTCAGGACAGAAACAACACGTATAACTCCATGTATGTGCATTAGGTTTCTCACATTAGCACAGTGGCCTAAACGGAAGATGGATTAATAGCTTTGTTAGAGGCAGTCAGAAAATCAAACTCGTGGTAATAGCTATGTCATGGTGGCTTTGAGACATTCTCAGGAGGGTGAGTGAAATCCTGCTGGGAAGGCAAACAGAATTGTTCATTTTGACTGTTTTTCCTATTCTGGTTTACCGTAATGACCATAGCAAATGGATGTGGATTTACAAGCACTCCTAGTGCTAGTCTTGAGAAGGTGGTAACTGTATAAGCAACTTCTTCAGGCCAGAGTAAGCAGCTTCTCATCACCCCACTTCTGACACACAGCCCTGTGACTTTTCCAGTGGGATGCAGCACAGATAGGAAGAATTTGCAGATCAGCTGAAATGTAGTTCCCATTGCTGAGAGATGTGTTTGCCAGAGGTTTGGGCTGGCTTCTTCCAGTGACTGGAACCGGTCCACATAAAAGTTGGCAAGGAGTAAATTTAAAGGGAGGGGGTTAGCTGATATCTTGGACTCTGACAGCTGATCACTGGTCCAGTTTGGTGTAGCCAGAGTAGGCTGGAGGGCAGTGATATTGTATTGATATAGGTGCTTGTAACTTTATAGCTCTCCTTGTACTCAGAGAAGCCCTGATAGACTGTACCTCTCCTACAGCCATAGAACATGTCCTTTCTTCCCCATGACCCCAGGTCTAGGACTCATACCATGCTGGAAAAGAGACATGGGAGATATCATCTTCTCTGTACTGCAACAGCACTGGAAATAAGACCAGTGGATGTGAGTGGTGACACTAAGCACAAAGGAACTGCGGACTTGGAACATCAGTGGATGCTGCTGCAAGCCCCGTTGTAAATAAAAACAGCAAGAAGCTGCTCGACTACCTGGCACCATCCCTAGCTGCTAAGATCCCAAGTGTTTGTAAACGATACAAGGATTTTCCTTCTGGCTTCACGCCTACCCATGCTGGGATTTATAAGGGCCTCTGCAGACCTTTTTGGTACAGTATCTGCACCAGACAGATTTTCCCTTGGCCAGCTTAGGGAAATTTTATGGCCCCATATGCTAAACATTCAGGCCTGGAATAGGAAGAAAATCTACTCCACCCTTTTTTTCCCTCATAAAGTTGTCTGGAAGAGAAAGACTCGACCGAGCTTGCTGTACAAATTTCATGCTTCCCAGGGAGAGATGCAGGCTCACCTTTTGCAACCTGACCTGCATGGTTGGAGCCCTTTCTCTCTGTAGGGTTGCAGGGAGGTTGACACAGGGGATTGGATTGCAAAATTGTGACCCTCTGCTACTCAGGCACAAAGTGAAGCACGTGCTAGATAGGTTTATTGAAGAACCATGAGTAAACCTTACTTTTTACCTTGTGTTCAGTGATTTGACAGGCAAAGTAAAGAGACTACGGTCACTGTTGTGTCATGAGAGTGATAAAGATAAATGGCATCATTGTTTTTGTTATATGTAGGCTGCTGGTGACTCTGGGGTGAGTATAAAGGCTAGAATTCACTCACAGGGCTTGCTGCGATTGTAAAAAGCTTGGCGGTAGGGGGAGGAGAAGAGAAAAGGAAGTGGAGGATGTAAAAGGAAGGTGCATGTCAGAAAAGCCAGGGCCCAAGCATCAGAGTTATGCACTGTGCCTCAGGCAGCTGTAACCTCTGCAATTCTCTTGAAAGGCATTAGGTATCCGTATGTGTGAGAGAAGAGAAAGCAGGGACTTTCCCCACCCCAGTCTCTTACAGGCAGAAAGAAAATCTGGTGGCAGAGCAGAAATCTGGCTGAAGTAGGATGCCTGTTGGCACTGCTGTTAACCGCTTGAAGCTAGGATTTTTCCTGGTGCTTTGCAGGAGCCAGTTTGCTGTGATCAGTTATTTATAATTGCAGACAACAGTCATTCCAAATAAGGACCATTGCCTGGTCTAGCTAACATCAGACCCAGTTAAATCAGTTGGGAATAGTTTTACATTCTGACAGTTTCAGTGGGGTCTAAAAAGAGTGAATGCTGGATAAGATGGCCCTTGGCTGGAAAGTGCTGCTGTTGATCACGGGTGCCCAAACTCCTGATCTGAGAGCCAGAGTCCCTCCTGTCTTCCTGCCCTGATGACACAGGAGGCAGTTTCAACTGTCTCAACTATACTTATATATATGCCTCCCTTCCTCTCATGATTTGCACCTTGAACAAAAGCTCAACCCCAAAGAGCTCAAACAGTGAATTCAGAGTGATAAGGGAGGCTATGAATGAAAAAGGATCAAGCAGGCTACCAAAACCAGGAGTTCCAGGCAGCAAACTCACCGGAAGCATCTTCTCCCATGGGGCCAGGCTTGATGAGACATCATGGTGAGTAAAGCTGGTGTGAAGAACCAAAGAAGCCCCTGACAGCACCTGCCAGCAGAAAGGAAGAAAGCAAAGAGTTATTAATAGCAGTGACCCAGATTGCACTCTGAGGGTACAAATCTGGCACAAGAGGAGGCCCAGACAGCTAAGAGGATATTTAAGAGTGGCCGGGAACATAACCCATCTGGCCACTGCTAGGGGTAGATTGTTCAAACCGTGCAAGGTGTCTCAGTGGCATGGGTAATTGTCTAATTGATAAGACATCTGAGTAATTATAATTACTTTGTGGCACATATAATTTAGTTCCCCTCTGTTCACGTATGAGTGAACTTGCAGTTTTAGTTTCAGAGTCAGCTGGATTCTGCAGAGTGGGCATTGAAGGAAACCTTCCCCGCATTTATAAATACTCACACTTCTCATGGAATCCCTCTCAGAAATTATTTTATGGGTTTGCCTCAGTTCTCACTAAACTCTGGGCAAAGACTAGCACTGAATTCCAGTAGTCCTGGATAATTTGCTTCCTGAGTTGAGGAAATTTTGTTAAAAGTGTTAGCACGTAGAAAAGAAATTTAAAAGGCTCATCTCAAAAATCATGTAGGTAGAACACCTCAGTGAGCATCAAATAATTGAAAGTCATTTGTCTGGTCTTAGGAAGAGCTGAGCTTTGCAGAGACCTCACACAGGAGATCTGGAAGTAGGACGTTTGTGAGCATGACTAAATCTGCTGTTTTGGGCACTTGGCCTCTTCATTTCCCATCTCTAAATAAAAAGTGTTTTTTTCTCTAAAGAATTTCTTTCCCATTTTCCCTGAATTCTGCTATGAGTGCCTATAATGTCTGTCTGTCCTCACATCAGAAAAGCCAACCATTGAAGCGTGGAACAAAATGGTTCTGTGAAGCAGTTGTTATTTCTTAGGACTTTGTCTAGCTGCTGATAAACTAAAGCAGAGCACACAAGGCTTCTCCTAGTTGCTATAAGCTTTTTTTTTTCCTGCTGCCCCTAATCAACACTTCGGTAGTGAGGATTTCCTACAGTGTGAAACAGGATCAGCCACAGGCTGGGAGACTGGCATGGGGGAGGGAGCAGTTTTGCTCTCCCTTCCATTTCTTCCACCGCATGAAAGAAGTGCTGAGGCTCTTTCAAGCTGAATCCTTCTCCACCCCCTCCTTTACCAAACTCTGATCCCAAACTGAGACCCTTGAGACGCTGCCAAATAAAGAACTCTCCCATAGCTTAGAGTCTGAAACCAATTAGAAATCGCCCCTCCGTGGCTGTGCTGGGGCTGTTCCAGCGCTGGGGAGACCCGGACAAGATGACTGCTTGTCTCTCAAAGCATCGCCTCATTCTCTCAAGCAGCTTCCATCACCTTTTGGGGCGCTTGCTGCACAGGGAGCCAGGCATTGCAGCTTTTCTGAGACATTGCAGCAGGGCTGTTGGGATTTTAATTCATGGGGTTTTTTTTGTCATCGGTTTGTCCCCGGCCCTGCAGAGTGCAACGGATGCTTGTGTTTTTCACACTGTCTAAAACCTCTGTGTATTGGGGGGAAGGGAAAGACACGTGCAGTGTTTTCAGTTGTGGTTAGGAAGGGAAGGAAAATGCTAAAGCAAGAAGCAAATGTGCATGTTTGGTGAAATGCCTGTGCAGACACATGCATGAGGCAGGAGGGACAGCCCCCACAGAGGAACAAATCCCTGACTGTAGTGACACTGCGCTGACAAGTGCCCTGAAGGCACCCTGGGATCCCATTCACTTCGATCTGTTCTGAGAAAGGTTTTCTCTGTTCACAACCTCACAGCACAGCACGCTGCCTAGGCCTTGCCCATCTCCCCTAAGTTGCAAAGAGCATTCAAGTAGCTAGATAGCTGCCCTGCAGTACACAAGTGTATTAATAAAGCATGTCCTTAAAGGTCACTTTGGATCATTAGACCACAGAGCACAGTGGAGCCTATTAACAACACCAGCAGCCTGCCTGGTACAGTATCTTGGTTTTGGCCGTGATGTGTATTAGATAGTAGATTTACTGACTCCTCCTCTCAACTAAAGTAGACTTATTTGCTCCTGGTGCCATCTGTGTGTTGCTAAATCTTTAATCAAAGCATCCTCCTATCAGCTGGTGGGGTATGATACTGTACTGTACTGCGGTGTAACACTGTTCTTTTTTTAGGAGAAGGGGTCCTAAAAAGGGCACAGATAAGATCAGTGGCTTGACCAAGATTATTCTGAGGGTCAGTGGTGGTTAGAAGGTCAATAATTTTGAATTTTTAAGTTAGCATACTACTTAGGAAACTTGACCTAATGTAACCTGTGCATTTATCACTAGGAAGAGTTGTTGCATAGGGCAGGATTGGGTCTTGCAGCCAGTGACTGTAGAAGTAGATACATAATATTTTTCCAGGTTAAGTGTTGGGTTTTGCCATCACTAGTCTTCTGTCCCATACACTGCTTTCTATTTATTGTCCCTAACACAGTAGTTAAGGGTATGCAGCTCATGGAGGCTGGTCAACCTGTCTTTATTCAGGTACTTGGACAAATACCCGCTTTTTTAACAGGCTTTTTCTTTATCTCTTGCAGAACTTTGCCAAAGAATTTGTGATCAGTGACCACAAAGAGCTGGATGAGGATTACATCAAGAATGAGTTGAAGAAAGCAGGGGGGGCTAATTATGATGCACAGACTGAGTAAACACACAGACCTCCTGGCACCATCACCTGGATCTCAAAGGGAGGGGAAAGGCACAACAAACTAACACAACTGAGAGATGAGGCAACTGAAATCCCCAGCTTTCTGTGTGTGCGCCTAAGACCTCCCTTTCTTTGCATACAGCAGACTTATTTTCCATTCCATCTCATGAAACATCCCTCTCTGGGGTTCTGTTTTCCTTTTTCCCCCATTTTTTTTACTTATAACTCTGTCCATGTTCTCGCATCTGTGGAATTTAGGTTTGGCTCTGCTTTGGTCCTATTCAGCATTGTCTTTGTAGAGGCTTGTCACTGTGTCCTTCTTCGTATGCGTGCATGTTTGTGTGTTTTAGTTGGGTTCAACCTGGTCTCTGAGGGGAGAAAGTTTCGGGGAAGTTCTGAACATCGATTATTTTAATTTTTTAAAAATTTGTTTTGACTGATATTCTTGGGAATAATATTTTTTGCTGTTCTAGGCTCAGATCAACTTGAGTTGACTTCACTTGAACTTTGATTAAATTGTCTAAGCTTAAATGTCCAGCTGAGATGTTATCCAATAGCTTAAACAACAAAGCGAACAAAAAAAAAAAATCCTTCAACTCTTAATAAATGGGAATAAATTTGCCTTAAACATTGCTTGACAGTTGCTATGCTATGTGCTGCATCTCTATCCCTCCTTCTTAAAAATAAGATCCAACGTGATCTGAAGGTGGAGGTGGTTTTGTTTTTTGGAGGCATCATGGCACAGTAAACTGAGGGGCTTAGAAATGTCTGGACACTTGTTCACTATTTTGTGTACATTGGTCTCTGGGTTTGTATCTGACTTTCCTAATGCTGGGGCTCAGGAGGTGAAACTGAAATGCATAGATTTCCTTTTTAAATGATGTCTGCAAAAATAGCAGCCGCTGAATCCTAGCAGCCTTCTCTGCCTATGTCCCCCCTGTTGTTTTTTGCAGTTAAACACAACATCGTCAGTTATTTGGTATCAAACTGTTTGTTTAGGGGGGCTTCTTTGTATGGCTTTTTTTTTTTCCCATCGAAGGCAGTTGTCCCCAGAATTACGTGTAGGGGGGAACTGTATTGTACTGGGGCCCGGGAGTCAGTGCTATAAACCCATTACAGAAATAAATGTTTTTCAAGAACAGTTCTCAGTGACTCTGTTGTTCTTTTACATTCCCTGCAACAGCAAGCCTATATTTAGGAGGTCTCTTAATCCTGGGTGTAAGGTTTTGAGCTCTTCCAATCTTGGGGCTATTAGGAGAATTAAACACTGGCTTAAATGTAAAATGATCTCAGCACCTGCAGCCCTTGTCTGCTCGTCTCCGCTCTGAAAGGCAGAGGTGACCACAGTGCACCTGACACACTTTTTATTCAGCTGCTCTACATCTAAATTTCCAGCACCAAAATGCCAGGTGGGAATTGTAATTAGGTCAAAGAGAATTTCACACCCACGTAAAATAAATGCAGAGAGGTCAGAAACAGATTTGGGGAGCAAGAACGACATTTTCAGAATGAAGTTCTGCAGCTTCCTGCACAGGCTTACATGGGCGTTACAGTTCTGGACTGAACTTACTAGAACTTGAAACAAGGGAAATTATTATTTTTTACAGGGTCGACAGTAGGGACAGGCATAACTGACAGGAAGGAGAGAGATTTGTAGAAAGCTTGTGATGCTCTGAGGCTTTGCCTTACTGGTTCAGTGACCACGATAAACTTTTATTTGACAGCTTGTGGGGTACTCAGACAACAATCTCAGTCTAGTCTTGAATCTTGGCAGCAATATCACAAGAAATTCATCCGCACCAGCTGTGATGTGGGGTTCGAAGCACTGATCAAGAAAGAGCTCAGCACAGAGGCAAAACAGCTTTCTCAGCCACTCAAAGGCATCTGAGCAAGACAAAGCAGAGCACTTGTGCTGTCTTTGGAGAGCTGGCTCCATTATTGGAGGAAGCCAAGGCATCGCTTTAGCCTCCTTGGTTGCTTTGCTATCCTCAGTCAGCATATGCCTCCCACAGAGTATTTTTCTAAAGACTTTCTAAATCTTTTCTAAATATTTGTCTCCTCCAGGTAACTTCTCCAGGTCTGTCTGTTCTATGCCAACTTCGACAATGCTGTTGGGGCCCAGTGCCCTGCATTCAGGCCTGACTTGGATTTTCTCCTGATTTTCTCCTGAATTCTGCAGTGGTTTGAAGTGGGACTCCAAAGTACTCACACAAGATAACCATCCCATTTGCCTTTAGTCAGTCCAGTTCACAGAACATAAAAGATCCCATATTCCCTCTCTGAATCACCTCTATGGTGTACTGGCACATATGGTCCCTTTTTAAGCACAGGAATAATGAGCTTGCAGTTGCTAGTACAGCAATTGCATGAGCAACATTAGATACACATGAGAAAACTGAGGAAGAGAAGGAATTATTCATTTGTGATAAGACATCAAGATAAATCCTTATGGAAAAAGTAGCCTAATGAATGATACTAATAACAGAGAATTAGTGGGATTTTGTTTTGTTTCTCACCTCAAGTCCATCCTCTCAGGCAGACTACCTAGCAATACCATCTTGCTAATGCTCTGAAGAACTTTGTGGGGAAAAAACTGGATGAGATGTACAAAAGCATTGGTGCTGGTCTGTCCCTGGCCTCACTGGAGCACAGTTGGGTCAGTTCTGAAAAAGCTGTTGGGGAGTTCTTTTTTGTACGGTCCTCTTCCTCTAACAACACTGCAACAGCCAAATTAATTAAGTCTATGCTTGTCAAACCCTCAGCCAAATATAAGATTATCTTTGTCACAAAGAATGTCTTGGAAACACACCCAGCCCCGACCCCAGCCCAAGCTGATGAATGTACATCCCAGGTGGCTGCCTAGGAGTGTTTGGGGCACAATGTGTTTCAAGAATTCAATGCTTCCCTCTCTCTCTACTCATCACTCCTGTAAGAGTAATCTGAATTAGACATCAAATGGCTTTGTTTTTAAAATCTTGATTATACTTCAGCATTACCAAATGGTCTTAATTTCCCTCAGGAGAGTGACTTTATTGGTATTATGTCAAACCCTTATGTTTGCAATAGGAGCAACTCAGCTAGTCACAGGGGCTATACACGCCCGGTGTAACTCATAATCTGTTCTGCAGGCTAAAACTAATCTCTGGGGTCTGCTGTTGCTTGACTGGGAAAGTATTTACCCCACAGTGTTTGCATGCGTTATCCTTCCTTGCTAATAATTAAGAATGCAAGAAACAATTGTCAAAACTTGAGCAGAAAAAAGACTGGGACATGAAGAATAAAAGCATAAGATCAATTATTCGTGACGCATTTGGGATCTCACGCTTGGCGTATCACAGTAACACAACATAAAATGGAAATTGTCTATTTTCAGACTCCAGGCCTCCTCAGTATCTTCATTCACAGCACATCAGTGTAGCTGAATGTCTGCAAGTGGCTGATACTCTGATCAGATATATTAGGGACTCTATAATGGACTGTATTTTGCACCCAGAGTGGTGGAGACAAAGAAGGAATTAAGAATAGCTATTTTTTTCTGTAATACTTCTCATCAGGAGGTCTCAGAGTGTTTCAGAAGGATTAGTATAAACCAGACTGTACTGTCATTCCTGGAGCACAATACCCTTGCTTAGGAAAGGGCCTTTTACCATGGAATTGAAGCAGAAATAGAGGCCCATGTGTTACAGGACCCCACAGCCCAGCCTGGGGAGATAGCCTCTTAATATATGCATTCCTCACCTTATCAGAGCAATGCTGAGAACGCTCCATCCTGGGATTTATGCTAATGGCCTTATGAGACATAGGCTTTCTTTTTCATTTTTAATGTATTTTTTATATAGTCAGGTGCCCTGTTTTGTGTCCAGTTAGTATACAAAGCCTGGTTTTGCCTTATCAGCCCTTTCATCAGGCTTTAAAGACCTGCTGCTACACAAAGGCTTGTGGGCTGCGTTACAGGAGCCTGCAGCGTCCCTCGCTCTGCAGCTCAGTGGGGGCTTCACCGTATGTCAGGGCTCTGGGCCGGGGAGACTCTGCTCTGCCTCTGACAAAATGAGGGAGAGCATAAGCAGCGACGGCAGCACGCTGGGGGCTGTGTCTGGCAAGGAACAGATTGAAACGATTCAACGGCTGCTTTATATTTGGCATCGCCAAAGGATTTTCTATTCCTCCACATTATGAGTACAGAAGATATGAGGCAGCAGCATCCGCTTTTAGCAGGGAGGGAGCAACAGAGCTGAACGAAACATCCTCCAAAATCTTGATTAATACAGAGAGTCAGACACAGCAGATGACTGCATTTTAGCAAGCCCAGATTGGGGGGGGGGCTTTTATGCAGTGCATAAAATGGTAGTAAGGGATGGGGTGAATGGGTGACCCCCCAAGAGATCTTTAGGAGGCCATGGTAGGCATCAGGGAGAAAAAGGCTCAGTACCCAAGGGCAAAGTCGTGGTTTGAGCATGGGAGACAGCAAGGCTGCTCTGAGTCATAGCAGGCTGAAACACGTGAACAGCAAATTCTCACTCTGAGGAGTAAGTGGGCCTTTGCAGAATAGAAAATAGCTGAACCAGGCAACCCTGGCTGCACAGACCGGCCCATGGAAACTGCCGTGTGTTTTTATAGACTGCTGTCCCAAATTGTGCATAATGCCAGATTACTGGCTGGTGTTAAATAGGCTCTGCTGTACGGACCCCTGGGGTGATCTAATCTCTCCAGCTTGAATTGTTGCAGTTATTTAGCAACAAGGTACTGGAGGAGCTGCAGAGAGGGGTGAAGGGGAGATGCAAGATATTTAGTGCATTACGGTACGAGTCTGGCTCGGTTCAGTGCCCCACAACACGGCACAAAAAGGGACATTGTTTAATCACCGTCAAGACATGAGCTATAAGCTCTGTTCCAGGCATGACGACAGAAGCTCATTTTCTTGCCTCGTCCCTGACGGACGCGCTTCCGCTTACTCCTGGCACCGCATCTCTTACAGCCGCGGTGGTGCTTGGGCGGGGGCTGAAAGCAGGGAACTGGGGGATCTCTCACAGATTTCCCCAGACTGGAACCATGGGCTTGTGGAAGTGGAATATAGCTCTTACTGAGCTATAAAGTGAGACCTCCTCCACCCCCAAATCTCACACTTTTGGGACCTCTCTGGTGTATAATGGGAGCAATGTGTTAATTCAGTCCTCATCTGAGGCTTGGCTTTATGGCCCAATAAGGCAAAACACTGAAAGAGACGGTTTAATTGCAGCATGATGAACTGTGTATTGCTTGGTGGGAATGAGTTCAATAAAAGACCATTCAGAGCCCACTCAGGCCTTAATCCCTGGAGTGGTACAGACTTCCCTAGTGTGATTTTCACCTATGCTGGCAATCCATCTGCTAAAAACATGGTCTCTTCAGCTTTCACAGACATCTGTTTCTGGCCTGGAGTAGCTCACTTTGCTCATCTTACACTGACCGATTGATTTGTGTAAGTTTATAAGGGCTGAGAAACAAAGAGAAAGCTTCCAAGATATTTCACCTTTCTCCCTCCCCCATCAAAATGTCCCATAAGGTTTTTCATTAACCTTAAGACATCTTCAGAATGAAAGTGCATTTCCATGTAAATGCAGCTGAAGGGGAACAAACAGCATCTGTTCTGCAAATATTAAATGCAGGCAGTAGATGAATAGACTTATCTCCTTTATCATGATTAGCTACATTTCTGACTTGTAATTTTGGCCTATCACTCAACAGAAACGGTAATCAGGATGTAATACATCCTACTGGCAAATTACAGCAATGCAGCTGTAAAAGGCAGCAGCTGAACCCTTCGGCAATTTAAACTAGGTTTTATTACACCCAGGGCAAGACTCCAGTAAGTATATTAGTGACATGATTTAAAAATAATAAGAGTTGAGTCTTGTCCCACTGAAGTTAATTCTGATGTCGGTTTTCATGGGAGGAAGTGTTTTGCCAAAATCAGAAATCAAACAGGTCTCAGGGGTGTCCTCAGTGGAGTCGGAGACTCTGAGAGCAAAGGAGCTGTGGTGAGATCACCCCTATGCGAAGGTGTGAATGCTGCCTTCTCACATTGATTTCTAGGTTACTACACACCAGGAAAAGTTTAATGTGGGGAAACTTATATGAAATGTGACTACAGAATACAGGGCT